CTCGCAAAACCAAATTTGCTTGAAAACGAGTGCATTTCGTTAACTTCGTGCAATTTACTTCGAGTAAAACATAAGGATGACGGAAACTCGGGGAATCCGTCTACCTGATGAGCCCCAAGAAGGGCGGAACCGGTCGTGAGCTGTCGAAGAATTATCAGCAACCTTATGAGTAGTGCATTACGAATAAACAGAATACTACTCCAGGGTGGTGGAGTAGACGAAACGTCTGGGGATTCCACCGGATGTCTTGTCATTTACACAGCAGATGGTGTACACATGTCTAACCATAACCACATACAGCTGATTATGCCAAAGAGTTTTGTGCACATTAGTACATTACGAAAGCCTATTAAGGCCTCTGAAACCTCGGGGGCCGAAATGCCCTCGGTACGTTCCCTTACAGACACTGAGTATGCAGACGATATTGCTCTCCTTGGGTCAGGTCCTTCCCAAATGCAAACGATTTTAAATGCCTCATGGTTTGGCATGCGCTTCACACCTGCCAAGTGTAAAGTGCTGCTACTGGGTGGGATCAAACCCACAAACTCATGCTTGTAGGTGAGCCAATCGACGTGGTAGATAAATTTGTTAACCTGGGCAGCTGTATAAGTCCTAGTGGACTGGCTAGAGATAAGATTGTCTCTCGAATCGGAAAGGTCAGGACAGCTTTTGCCAACCTCCGACACATATGGCGCCGACGTGACATGAGTTTGTCTGTCAAGGGTGGTACGATTCATACTGCTTTATGCATCAGAGACGTGGCCTCCACGCGCAGAGGACATACGGACGCCGTCAGTGTTTGATCATCGGTGTCTCCGAAGCATTGGTCGGGTCTGAAGGGAACATCCCATCAATAATGCTGGGGTATGCCAGATGGTTTTAGGAAGAAGGAACTCTCTCGCGACAGATGAATTACTCACGCTTCCCAGGTTACGCTGGTTGGGTCGTGTACTCCGCATGCCACAAGATCGTCTGCCTCGCAGACCTATTTTCGCTCAGCCCTGGGCTGAGTGGAAACGACCGAGAGGTGGACCATGTATGACCTGACACTAACCAGTAAACTTAGTCGGGTGGGCAACTGCCGTCCCCTGGATGGGGACCTCGGGACGCAAATCACCAGTTGGCAGAAATGGCCCAATCGCACAGTCAGTGGTGCTCGTGCATCAAAGCCATCGCCCTCAATGCGTAGCTACCAAAGTTCCAAACAAACTGAACAGGCCTTCGCCTCCCAAGGCTTGGTTTTCTTATTCCACTTCCCGTTTTCCGGTCATCGAAACTGTAGCAGCTGCAACCACCAATGTGCCTATGGTAGACTGTTTAGGGCTTGAATTAACGCTCGAATTAAAAGTACCATTACTGAGGTAATCAATGAGTTTTCATCTCATTCAATGCTGAACTAGTTAGATTTAGACAGGATGAAAGTAATGGGTCGGTATCTTTATTGTCCATAGTATGATTTGTCGCCTATTCTGATAGTCCGGAAGCCGATCGTCCGCGGGGGATACCCATCAGAAGTAGCCCGGGCCATTCCGCACTAAACTGTTCATCGAAACCGTTATTGATAAGCCACTTCTCCTCCATTTCTTAACCTAACGGCGACTTCTCCAAACGACATAAACTAGTTGGAAATAGTGACGATCAGAGAATGGCTAAAAGGATACAGCTTTTTCTGAGACAAAACAGATCGTGGATGCAAGTAGCAGCATCTTTCGGTGGTTTGGCAACACTTCACGTTGAAAGCGGTCCCACCTACGTTCTTCCTGACGCCTTAGAACGGGATTAAACTCGTTTTCTTTAGGTGAAGAGGCAAAGACACAAACGGTTGGACGTATAAACGGTTTCGAACGGTTTCGCCCTTCTTGGGGCTCATCAGGTAGGCGCGCAGTCCCCGAATTTTCGTCAATCTTATGTTTTACGTGAACCCTGTTTTTCCAAACGTCCATTGCTGTCGCTCATTCGTTGGTAATGGTACTTTTATAGGTGCTTGAATCGGCCAGGCATGTTCTTGGTGGACAACGGATGCAAAAGTGTTGCTCATGCCGTCCCTCTAGTGGGCTTCACAGGGTCTTCTCATGAAGCCGAAGAGGTATCTAACACGTTACCATCCAGCGTAATTCGCTCTTCTCTCAGCCCTCTAACTGAGCCTAGTCCACGAGTTCACAGTAGCTCTATGTTCTGCTTAAGTGCGTAAGTGACGCAGCAACCCAAGTTTGGTGTTTTATGTCAAAAGAATATACTGCAATATCTTGAATATCGTGGTTAAGGCGCAAACCTACTAACCAGAAGGCCCGTAGTTCGAACCCAACCAGGGCATCTTGACTGATCCTGTGCCTGGGGAAACCTCATGCTTCCGTTAGGTGGCATGCCAGCTGGGCACTGAAAGGGTGTTACAGTTGAACGATTAGTTTTTATTTCTTTAATTGTCAACCTAACGTATTCCGCCACTGACTACTTGCTTTGAACAAGTTCTCCGAAGTTCCTGGGGACTCTAGGTCTCACTGTCCACTCGTGTAACTATGTGAATCTGAAGACAGCTCACGTTGAAGGCTTACGTCATTTGGTGTGCGGCATCCTCTTTGCTACTTTTTTTGGAACAACATGGATTAACAAAAAGGAGAATCACGAATTTGCATCGCAGTCCAACTTCTTGTTTGAGGCATCAAATGCGTTCGTCGACACACGGCGTCCTTCAACTACTGAGTGAACACATGCTGAAGAATCAATATGCAAAGTGAAAAAAATTGTTTATGGTTTGGGCACCCATTCCGATCCCTGTCGAACATCATGTGCACTGGATCACATAAATGAGTTCCGTTTTTTTCTTAACTCTGATGTTCATCCGGGTGAAAGAATGACAGAGCACTATATCGACTACTAGTCAACGGTTGAGGTACAAGTCGGTTAGGACAAAAAACCACTTGCCACTTCGGTCCGCTGACGGAATAACCAATCGGTGCGTTCCGCCGACCAAACTACACACGCCCGTTCGATGCGAAAGCACCGCCGCCAGTCACGTTAATTGTGGAAAAAAGAAATCTCAAAGATTTTCCCTCTCGTGAGTCCTGCTCAAGATTTACTGCCCAGAGGACCTGTATCGCCATGGATTAGACCGACTTCGAAGATGAGAAGTGGATGAATTGGATGGAAGTCAAACCATGCTTCTTTCGTTTTCAAAACCACACGATTTACAAAACCACTTAAAAATGCTGGTCACTAAACAAATAAATTCCATCGAAAGGACGTTACCTCCTCTGTTGTAAAGCTTCATGAGCGGCGCACCTGGAGACCTGGCACGCTGAGCGATTCTCCGCATACCACCTTTTGAAATCTATCCGACTTTTCGGAAATTCGAGTAACCGGAAAATTTATTGTTCGAGATCTTGAAATCGCAAACGCTCTCTGGCATTCACCCCCACAACCTCAGTATGTACCGGTCTGACACCAACCGAATACCAACGTCCATGGCGTTGAATCCCAATGCTTTAGCTTCTGCGTTTTTTCCCACAGTCAGGGTGAAGCGGGACACTACTCGAGCGTTGCTCGATGGGCCTGAATCAAGCCTCAGAGGCGCCTGCTCCTATTCCCTTACTGCGGGAACAGACAGTGTGGTGTATTTGCACACCGAATGCAGCGATCGATCTCCATGACGTTCTTATCCGGATGCCCAATAAGCTTGGATTCGGCCACCTTGCTATGCGTTGGCTTCAGTGAGCCACTCATATCCATGCCCAGCTAATCACGTGATCACGCACAGAAAAATATCGGGTGGGGTAAGCATGAGTCATTTCGCATCAAACGCACGTGCGTGCCTTCGTCGGCAGAACGAACCGACAACCGAGAGAAACGCCCGGATTTGCTGACGCCCACCGTGTACCGGGTGGGGTGTGCACACTAGCTGACTTGTGGAAATTCCAGTATTATGGTGGCACATTCGTGCCGCTCTCGTTTGAACAATCATCCCCCCGTCCTCGCACAATCATCTAGATGAGCTCACGATATAGAGGGAAAGCACCGGACCCTTATTAGAGCTTGGATGTGCATCTGACAAGCGGGGTTAGCATGCTGTCACTACTACACCAGCCTGAATCATCACGTCAGTACAGGCAAGCGTGCTCACGCCTGAATGATGGAAAATTGGCCCCTAGTGCCCCGTTGAACAGACTGGAATGCTCGGGAAAAATACTAGTCCGGAACCGGATCGGAAGTATGTATTTACGTATGAGCTCTAGATGGCTCGGTGGGTAAAGCGCGAACTTCCTGGTCGGAAGGTCCGTGGTTCGAACCCAACCTATGCACCTCGACTGTTCCTGTCAAGCAAGGCACCGGAAGGGTGTCAGCTAAAAGATCACTATCATTGTTATGATTACCACTCAAGTGGGATCGACTTACGAAAGAAGAACCCATGACACGACTGGTATGGATGAGCTGATATACCTAACTGAAGGAGAACAAAACGCAAGTCGGTCGTGTGTGGGTGCTCGGTTTTTAACTTACAATCCAAAAAATCCAGACGATACCAGACGACCTTACAAGAATGTGTTCTCAGGTCGACTGCTCGTCTGCTTAGCTCCGAGTCCGATCTAAGTCTGCAGTTTGGACGACCGACCTGTTGTCATGGCAACCCTCGACTTAGTTGTCGCACAAACCTGAGTTGCGTTGCTGTAAGAGAAACACAATTTTCACTTGTGAAGGATTTGATCCTCATCTCGGCTTCTGGTCCCTTTGTTACTGCACTATCGCAGTGATGAATTTGTCCCACCAACGGCCCGAGTAGACCCGTGTGGCAAGTGCGGACAACTACTTTCACGGTGTATACATTCAGTTTTTCTGTGTCACGTGGGTCAGATCCTTGAAAATAACCCAGAATGCCTGGAGCTTATTTGAAACTTCAGACGCCGCCAGATCGCAATAGGAAATCTGCCAGGCATCCGGGCCGGCTACCGATTGGATGCCCAAGCAATCAATCAATTCAGCAACGATCGACGATGATGAGTGTTCAGGCATATCATACAATCACGGGTGACGATGATGAGGGTTCAACCATGTCATAGAAGCAACGGTTGACGATGATGATTGTTCACCTAACGCTAATCAGACAGCCTGGGTTCAAGGCCAAAAAGTGTGCTTTAAATACCGTGATACCTCTTGTAACCTTTGCACTCACTTGTTCGCAATAAAGCTGTTCTGTTCCTTGTTAGGGAATCGAAAGCGACTTGAACGCAGTCGAGAGAGTCAGTATTGGCAAACCCACCGAGAAATGGACCTTTGAGTATGATACAGTGCGTAGTTAACTACATATAACGAAATATCCTGGATCTTGTGAATGCACTATGGACCAGAATAAAGGAAAATGTCTGGATATTCTTTAGGTCAAGATGGACGCCTAGAAAATTCATGGCGGTAACTTTCAAGACCACGAAAGAGCTGATGTAGTGTAATAGTTTGGCGGAAAACTTCAATTGCAGCCAATTGGTAAACAGTTTGTTGGTGAGTTGCACCTTGTTGCAAGGCATCGACAGTTTTCCAAGTGCGTTTTTTAACGCGAATCTGAAAGCAGTTCCTGTTGAAGACTTGCTTCAAACAGGCACAGAGTGGGCAAGCAACACGAATTGCATTCTTGGGCTTTTCACGCTATTATTCAGGCGTGAGCGAACCCCATTCGCCCAGACGACCAATGATGTGCAGGTGAAAAGGACGGCCCTACCGTGTGAATCGAATGTAATGGAGGAACCGGTCTCCATCCCTGCTGTACGTCTGGGATCGAGAGCACGTTAAAATCAGTTGAATTATTAGGTCGTAGCGAAAGCCAATGAGGCAGCGATGGAACCAATCACAAACGATGAGTATTGACAGCACATCCGTTAACAGGACTCCTCAGGTCATGGGGTCGTGGAGTCGTCATAGCAACTCGAGTGTCTCCATACGTGCGAGCTGCATGGTAGATTCGTTGGTCATTGTTCTCGGAGAGAGGGCTCGAAGTCGATTGCACACTGGACACACCAGTGGTTATAGGTCTGGAATCAGCGGCGAACCATCACATAGCACTTGGTAATCCAGTTGATATACCAGGCGAAATCCATGGACCTGAGAGTATGGCAAAAACACCGAACCTGTGATTACACATTCCCACTGAATGTGGCGACAGAACTGTTTGCACCTCTGTAGTTGCCTACAGATTTTCGAACAAGCCGTCCTGCCAGCCCCAAACAGAGAATACGTCATCACTGACTAGTGTAGTAAACCTTCGAGTAACAACTGCACAGTCAGGTGTGATGGACCATAATCTCAGCAAGCCACTCGAAAGGTCCGTTTCGGTTTGCGTCATGGTACTGTGGCAAGTCAGTGGAAGATAAGTGGAGGCATTTTAGTCTGTGGCTTTTCCATGATCCTGTGGACACAGCGTGCCTCCGTAGCACTAGACCGGTTGGTTACGGATAGGAAAAGGCTGTTTTCACTGTTATTGATCTATTACAAAGGAATATCTTTGAGCTCTCCCTGAATGGTTCTTCACCTATCACCCTGGTAGCCTCAGGAACCTTTTGTGTGGAAAGCGAAAGTTTACCCGGCAATAACTTCGGAAATTCTTCGAAATTCTTTGAAGCGACGACTAATCAATCGGGGCCAAACATCCGTTTTGTAAAATTTTAAGTTCACATTTGTCAACGAATTTGGTTTCGATTGGAGAATCTCTCGTTTATGATGGCCCGCTTCCACTGTATGTGCTGCACCAGGCCGCCCGATGTTTCAGTTTGCACGATATTTGACATACCGCAATACATTGTCAAAGCGCAATACACTACTCATTAGGTTGCTGAAAACTCTTGGACGGTGTGCAACCGGTTGCGCCCTTCTTGGGCTCATTAGGTGGACCCAACCCCCATGTTTCTGTCAACCAAACCCGTGTGCAAATAAGGGATCCTATCGAAATCAGCCCAATATGGATGGACTCAAGTAAAACGTAGACTTGTTGGAAACTCTGGGTCTGTGCCTAGTCGGGGAGTCCCAAGCAAGGTGAAAGTGGTTGTGGGCTGTCGAAGAGCATTATGAATAGTGTGTTAAGGTTGAACTCTGATGTAATTCAATAAAGAACGGTGTTAACGCATGGAGAAACCTTTAACCTGTCTTCTACCTGGCTCTTTTGTTTTCAAATGTAAGAGTGATCAGCCTGTTAATGCCCCTGTATTACTAAGAACTAAACCTACGTGTTTGGGGGAGAAACGAAATTCGGGATATGTTCCGCTTTGGTTTGTGAACCAGAGATACGGTTGGCAGAATAAGGTGTATATGAAACTGTCAGTTATTAGCTATTGTTCTCATCAGTAAATACTGATTTAGATCTACTTAGGGGAGCCCTGACTGATCGGTGCATTTACCGGTGACGCGTACAGGTTAGAACGAAAACAGTTGTGAACTGGAAGAAAGTTTAAAATCACGTGACACCGCGGAACACAGTTAATGTTACTATCATGAGTAATAGACCATTTTCGTTGCAACATGACAGTTTCCTGTTCTCATGTACGGCAGTGTACCGTCAGTGATGGTCACACAGTGATGGATGTAGCGGCTACTCAGATTGATGAGTGTGGCACACCTGTGTTTTTGTGTCCATTAACTGTGAGACTTTCCACGCCTTATCCACTCTATGTTCCTGCTGTAACAGCTGTAACACACTTTCGGCGCGTAGCTGACACTCCGGCGGAAGGATGCCGGGTGGCTGAGATACCGCTAGGTTGCCTAACAACAAAAGGTGGGGTCGAGTTCGAACCACGGACTTCCCAGTCAGTAAGTTCGCGCTTAGCAATGAACTAACCCGAGCTCAAATAACAGGACGTTATGTATAACAATTTATGCAATATTGATTCATGTTGCGTTTTATCTGGACCAATAGCAATATAGGGAAGCACGAGGGCTGTAGAACCCTTTCGGTGCCTAGCTGCCATGCCACACAGAGGAGACACGAGGGCTGAGATACTGCCAGGTTGCCCAAACCTAGACGGGGGAAGTCAAGAGGCAGAGGTCGGGTTCGAACCACGAACCTTTCGTTCAGTGAATTCGCGCTTTGACCACTGAGCCATCTCGCCCCCAACCTCATTACAACCGCATACACAACGTCGTAACCAGTTGTATTGTTTTGTTTCCTCCCAGAACCTGTCAGACATTGTGGCAGTTCATTATCAATTATAACAATAGCGAGCGGAGATGACCGAACTAGCTGTCGTGGATTTACGTAAGAAATAACGGCAGAATGTGACAATCTAGGAATATCAACAGGCAAGCGAAAACCTTTTCGCGGTGCACCCACAGTCCAAACGAGAGCCGTTAGCACATTTCGCAATGTAGACCGTCCGAAACATCGACTGAAGCAGTCAGTTGATTCCGGAATTCATGCGTTCCTCTACGATCTCGAAAATATGCTCACGGAGATGGTTGAGCAAACGGAAAAGCACAACAGGCAGTGTTGAAAGAGAAAGCAGCTTTTGTAAGAACAGAACCAGTGAGAGTTAAGGATAGCCGATTCCGGTCAAATAACAAAACGTTCTCGTCACCTCTACGCGTGAAACGAAGAGAGCCTTCGCTGCGGAGTCATTTATTAGAAAATGCCAACTGAACAGTTACAGACTATTAGACAGGGAAGCAAAACTCCCATATGCAATTTGTTTACAAAAACTGAATATCCATGTTCTTCTTGAACTTGTTTTTCTGTACTTTTCTGGATATTCATTGACTATTGCTCAACTCCAAGCAAATGCGACTCCATAATTTCGGTAATAGATCTCACTTTTCAAGAGACGCAAAGCGGATTTACGAGAAAACATACTACTTGCATGCTCCCGTCAGTAGTATCACCGTCACAACAGCAGCTACCGATTAAACAGAAGGAAGTGATTCAGGACCTCGAAGAGTTGATGTCTGAATGTCTGCTGGGGAAGCGCAAGGACATGGATCCTATCTCGTCTCACCTCAAGTCTTCAAGCAGGACTCTCTGAAGTAAACCCGAATAGCAGAGTGGTATCAATCAGTGAGAACCCGAAACGCTCGGATCACAAAGGACAGAACCAGAAACTGCACATGCTGGGTCATTGTTTTCCAAAGAGAATGCTGTTTTTCGTTGTAAATTCAAAGTGGCGCAGGCAGCACAGTGGTTAGCATTGTGCTCGTAGAGGAAAACCAAGTGGATTACAAAACGTCTGGGTATTGTCTGTGTGATTCACTTTCCAGGATGCGGTCTGCCTGATCCTATGAGTGTCTGGAGATGTGGGCACACCAGAATGATTGCGTTAGACTAGCAATAAGTTTCATTCCCCTCCACTTTTATTTTTTTGCTTCAGAATAAGGCTTTCGAATAAATTAGGACTGCCACCCGAAGAAAGCACGAGGGCTGAAATACTGTTAGGTTGCCCAAGCCTAGACAGGAGAAGTTGAGAGGCAGAGGTCGGGTTCGAACCACGAACCTTCCGGTCATTAAATTCGCGCTCTAACCACCTGGTCCATCTCGCCCCAATCAGTATTGACGTTATGTTACCGACAATGATGACGTCAAACAATAAACATCAAGTTGCGAGCTCAATTAAATTCATGAGGTCCACGAACTAATCTCAATGAATTCACGGCATGTAAAAATTCACACTCATCTCGTGTAGACAACACTGTTTCAGACGGCAACTGATTTGATGTGGTGCAGACTGCCGGTCGCGAGCTTGGACGCTTGCGTCCAAATGTTAGGTGAATATGTTGACCTATTCGAGACACGGAAACTTTACGGGTTGGTGGAGATGTGGCGACTATTGATCCGCGACATATCTGTGTTTGTTCACTCCCCGTGATAAGCGACTTCTTGCCCACAACTAGCATCTTCCTGTTGGTCTTAAAAGTTCGATTCAGGTGTTTTGTCTTGTTTCGGTCATGTTTGATAACCTCGTCAAAACTGATTCAACCATTTTCCAGGTTATCCATCCCTTCGAATCTGTCAGTAGCCCACTAGCAGTTACAAGCGCAAGTCACACAGAGAACGTTTCACAGTCAAACACGTATATAAGCCGAATAAGGTTTACGGAAACTCGGAAACTGCGCCCAAGAAAGGCGAAACCGGTTGTGGGGTGTCGAAGAGTTTTCAGCAACCTCATGAGTAGTTTCCCTCATGAAGCCAAATAGTCTTTAAAATGTCAGCCAATAAATCTTCACACCTGATTCATCGCCGATCGACGCTCTGCCAGCAGTCCTGGGTCCGCTTGACTGTCAGGTGTACCGTGTCTCGACAGCCAAAGGGTCTCAGGGTGCCGGAAAAACAAAGCGTATGAGCCAGAGTCGGTTCTCAACTTACCGTTTTGAAACTGTGCCTCGAATGAACCGCTTTCGGAGGCCGAACATGTCAGTACTTGAGTGTCCATCCATCGCACTTTGTCATCCGTAATTTTAACGTTTGTCTTTGCGCGTACGCTACGGATATAAGTGCAGTACGGAAACCAGACATCAAAAGGTGAGCGTACGTGTGAACAAGTGTGATGACGTCAATGTCAGTCTAATTTCCGGACCTATGTGGACAGAGACAGACGGAAAAATGAAGCGTGTGGAATGATGTGACAAATGGGTGTGATTGTCAACACATGAGAGGCTGTGACGTCCATCAAGGACGCTGCGAACGCAAAAAGAGAAGTTGCGCGTGATACACTCACTACTCATAAGGCTGTTGAAATCTCTTTGACAGCCCATCAGGCAGGCGCCTTCCTTGAGTTTCCATCAACCTTACGTTCTAATTGAAGCCACGAACTTAGCGACTCATTTGTATACCAATTAGGCGTGGGCGTGGTTCCGTACACGCATTGAAAAGGAAAACGTACAACAAACTGGCGACAGAAAATCAATGAAACCTTATCTAGAGCACATAACAGTCTGAGAAGACTCACCCCACCTGTAACAAAGTACCAAGATTGTCCAATTGGACTGCTCCGGACATTTCATTCTTATGGAAACTCGTCGGTTGGGCGTAATACCGATAAAGTCCAGATGGTCGTTTGGTTAGAAGTCATAAAGTGCTGGACTTGGAACGACCAGTTTCGGGCACATGGTAATTTGTTCTAGATAACTTTGAACCCTTTGAGACTACCGGACCAAAAGGGAGTGAATCGATGGTGCGACTAATCACCGAGGGTTCCGGAGAATCCGACAGTTCCAATCCGTAAGATTGATGTCTACTCATATGTTTATGCTGGGGATATGGCCGGGCGTTCTTGGCTCTAACGTGAGCTCACACCTGACCCACTTAACTACGCACACTGATGTCTCCTCGTATGGTGACGAAACACGTGGAAACCTCTTGTCCTAAGGCGTTCTTCGCTCACACCTGACCCAGCCAACTGCACACACTGACGTCTCCTCGTATGGTGACGAAACGTTTGCAAGCTCGGCGAACACAGATCAACAGCTACCTACCTGATCATCAACCGATAGCTGCCGGGCAAACGGTAGCAGACTCATTGCTTGGCTATAGGCAGGATGAAATCCGGTATGGGTGAGCCTTTCCGAATCCGAGCACGTCTTTATCGGAACTATCCGATAGAATTTGAAACCCATACTTTTGGCTGATTAACAAGCCTCCCAGAAGAATCGATGACCAGTTGGACAAGACAAGCCGAGTTGACACGTGACGATGTGGTTGTCAATCCACTTAGGATCATTAGGAAAAACCGGGTGATGGGGATGGAAACCCCAACCGACCAAAGGTCACAGCATCCCTCTTAGACAACTTTCTTAGCACTAGCTCACCCACACAGACTGACAGAAGGTTCAAACGAAGTTCAAGAGGAACCATCAAATGAACCGAACCAGAAGAACTAGACCCTAGGCAGGACCCAAACACATGTAGGTTTCCCCGCCGACCCAACACTTGTTCAACCACTCCAAAAATAAAAATCCCTCGGCCGACACCCAACAGAGATTTAGCCTGACTTAGCTGATTGGTTCTCCTTCCGCCTTAAATCTCGATCAACCTCGGAACCTAGTCACTTGGCCTGACGAAGCTTTTGTGTCAAAAGCGAAGCGTTGCCCAGCAATAAATCTACCGATTGTCACCAAACTTTTTCGAAAAAGAAACGTACCCATTCGCCAAAAGTAAAAAACTGTCCGTGGCATGACTTGAACCAGTGTGTTTGATAGCGGAGAAGAGCCACGTCCGGACCTGTTTTCCAGGCCCCTATTTGCCGAAGTTCTACGATGTGTAGATTGTCCGAAACTCTGGATTTACCATAGTAACCAGCAGTAAGGATGACAGAAAAACACGGTAACCCAGACGAATTGCTAGGCGGTGTTTTCAGGTATCATTCGATGCAGCAAATGTCTGAATTGTATCTGGAGAAAAGAAACGGTACCATACCAAAACAAATCTCCGGATTTTCCCCTCATCTTTGTTTCTGTATTGCTTTATGAGAAGGCACGCCAGTGCCCTTTTATTGGTGAGACAATGGAATGTCTTGAGGCCTGCTCCAGATGCGGTGTTTTGTTTACAACACCAAGCTCACCTGTTGATCCCTACTAACAAGGGAATTTGCCAAATAAGGTTAGAAAACCTCGAGGTCATCCGAGGAAGGCCCTGACTCACGGTAGATGGAATCTAGGGCGAACAAGCGGTAATTCGATACACGGGTTATCTTGAACTGACGGAATAGATATGATGTTGTTGGCTGAACTGTACTCAGTGAGGGGAGTGTTTATAAAAGACCAGTTGAAAAATGGAGATCCATGAAAATCGGTGCTCAAGCTTAGGGTTAATTATTTCGACCAATAAACATCCGCGGGCTCCCTTCGGAAGTGAGTTGGGCCTATGTTTCTGGATCTTTAATCGTGATTAGCACAACTGTTCAATCGAACAACTAACATTTACGATTTCACTTGACGTAGGAAAAGTTGGTTCTAATAAGTGTTCGGTTTCGAACTGAGCCGTTGGAAGTCAAAGCTGGCGGGACATCGGTCTCTCTCTCAGGTGTAAGATACTAGGTGCCACACGAACAGATGTAACGACCGACGATGGTCGTCTGTTCTGTTCTTTGGGCTCCACTCGAGCAAAATGCGACTGTTTTGCCAGATCACTTCGTCTTGCCGACATAATCAGGATGTCGGACAATGACTCGACTTTCACAGTCTGTGGATCCATGTGTACGAGCCACCTGACAAGTTAAAGAACATTTTCTTGATGCCTTTGATACACAAAGAAAAATGCCAGCTCTTCCGGAGGCATCACCAAGTGGGAACACGTCGAAGCAACATCAAACCCTAAAACTCATTCCCTGTCATTGAATTCCCTGCGTTTTATTGACTTTTCAGAAGCTAGCCAGCCTGTAACTACTCAGAACCTCCGACGACTTGCTTCTTATTCATGCGGTCCGGTATGCGGACTGCTCGCGGCTCGTATTCCGAAGCTTATAGCTGTGTGTCCCTGCCGCAGCTCACCTACAGCTGGACATTCAAGGGTCGTTCAACCATCCAACGACCTTATCCTGTCTGGCCTGTTGCTTATGGACCACGTCATACAAAACTCTGATGGTGTCTGAAAGACAAAAGACCGCGTCCTACGGTCTCACAGGGACCTGATGTGGCACCTTAATTCTGCCACGCCAGATTGAGGCGATTCGTCGAAAGCCCATCGTCTATCCCATTTGTCGGACAAAATGTCTTACAACCAGGACGTGGTAGACAACCGCGTTTGTGGTACACATGGGCCAGACGTAGACACGCACGCACGTACGCAACGCACATAAGCGAGCAAAGCGAAGACAAGAAGGGACGTGTAGGCACTTGTTTCAAACCTACACACGCACACACACACAGACATTCGGATGCACGTACCTGCGTCTCGTGCGAACGCATAGCTGTGAGCGCAGACGCGGCCCCGGTACTTAAAACGACTGATCGATAAAGACGTAGTTCCACGCAAAACCGCGTTTCGTTTCGCCCAACTATTGGTTGTTCTCCTGGTTGGTTGAATGAAGGGTTGGTTGGCTGGCTGGCTTGGTAGACGACGTTTGACGGGCAGAAAGGGTTTTGGTGTGAGACAACCGACACCAAGACGGGGTAGGCCCTGGCGCAATAGAGGGAGGTGGTGAAGACCCTTTATCTCCTCCGGTATTCAGTCAGCGGTTTCACTGTGGGACGGGGTCGTATGAGGCCCGCTAAAATATGGAAAACAGCGACCTGGTTGGCTAGTAACCAAGATTATGACATTCGAACAGATGAACTACGGTCTATCACAGAGACACTCAAAAACAGTAATGGCTTCGATCCGTCGAGCCGCGCAAATTCACCCATAGGTGACGCGTTGTTTGTGCAAGTGATTCAGTAAGTTTAACGCAACGCATACGCACCAACAAGTGGCCTTTTGAATCGCCGTACCGAAGATTATACAACAACTGTATGGTGGTCATGCACAAAGTTACGTACATTGGCTTCCATTCGGGAATCAAGCAGGCATTCAGAAGCAACGTCCTCAGTGCTATGGCACAGCAATGCCCCAAGTTGACATCACAGCCTCGACCCACAGTAGACGGACCAAGAGAACACAGGTGTAGCGGGTCCGTTCAAGGGACTAAACTTCCTCAAAATGGTTAACAAGTGCGGCAAATGGCCTTTTTAGTTGAGGAATCCAACGAGGTAGTGCTATGTCTCTCCAATGTCTTCCTCAAAATATACATTAAATTCTTTTCAATAGAAATTACCCGAAGTCGCCTCACCTGAGTGTAATTGGGAAAATACGACGAAGAGTTGTAAATACGCCCCTACTGGTTCTTCAGGGTTTCGACAGTTCACTTTCCCGGGCCTTCCAGACCTCCCGAATTCTGATGTCCTTTTGAAATTGACCATTTCTGGCATCGAAAGAACGTTCACCAGCACTGAATGTGATCAAGCGCTTAACATGTGACGGGGATGTTGGCAGAGAAACGCAGTCAGATCAGTAAGAACGCGCGCACAATCGACTCACAGCAAGGTTTTCCGAAACCAATGCGTACGTTCGAGACCGATGTGTCATCCGGTGGCGTACGTGTACTTTCTAGTGACTTGAATCTACCCTGAAATTCGTAATTTATCCGTGAAAGTCAAGAAAGTTTAAACGCAGTTTAGTCGTTCTCCTTTGCTGTTCTGCGTATGTGTAATCGCAATAAATTTGCCGTAAGTAAACACGCTGGTAAAAGTATCGATTTTTTCAAGTCTTCTGAATGCATACCCAATCACAGTGCCAAAGTGATGGGCTAACTACCCAGTCTGGCCAAAATATCACAGGTAAATTATTTCGCTCCAGTTATCCATCGCTATTCTGTCGTCCTTGTCAGACTGTGCGGTCGGATGTGTCGACGATGTTACCTTTCTTATAATATGATAGGTGATGGTGTCCGTTTCTGGACGGACTCTGCAGAGTGTGGCCCTCGACTGACGCTTGGATCTATACCATG